TAGAGCAATTTCGATCCTTCCTAAGGGCCCACCACGTCTTCAACTTTTTTTTTTTACCTCACCTTCCTGCCTTGCGTCGCGCCTAACCTTAAGGCCCCGTAAGGCCCCGTCAGGCCCCGTTTACGGCCCCGTCAGGCCCCGTTTACGGCCCCACTTACGGCCCCGTACGGCCCCTTAAGGCCCCGTCGGCCCCGTTTACGGCCCCGTCAGGCCCCGTCGGCCCCGTTTACGGCCCCGTAAGGCCCTGTTAGCGGCCCCGTCAGGCCCCGTCAGGCCCCGTAAGGCCCAGTCAGGCCTCGTTAGCGGCCCCGTCAGGCCCCGTCAGGCCCCGTAAGGCCCCGTCAGGCCCCGTCAGGCCCCCACCCACCCTGTTGCGGCCCTGTTCCGGCCCTGCCCCGGCCCTACCCCGACCTGTCGCGGCCCTGCTGCGGCCCTGTCGCAGCCCTGTCCCGGCCCCTTCTACGGCCCTGCTCCGACCCGGCCCCGGCTCTGCCCCTACCCTGCCCCTGCCCTGCCCCTGCCCTGCTCCTGCACTGCTGCGGCCCGGCCCCGGCCCTGCCCCGGACCTCTCGCGGCCTCGCCCCGGCCCTGTCCCAGCCCTGCTCCGACCCTGCCCCGGCCCTGCCCCGGCTCTGCCCCGGCCCTGCCCCAACCCTGTCGCGGCCCTTTCGCGGCCCTGCCCCTGCCATGCCCCGACCCTGCCCAGGCCCCGCCCCCCTCGTGCCTGCACCGGCGCACCGGGGGCCCGCGCACCGCCCCCCCCCCCTCAGGTCGCCTCACCAGGCGACGGGAGGGGCGACCTGGGGGGGGCTGCGTGTCGGAGCAGCCGCCCCTGGTGCAGCCGCCCCTGGAGCAGCCGCCCCTGGACCCGGAGCAGCCGCCCCTGGCCCCTGGAGCAGCCGCCCCTGGAGCAGCCGCCCCTGGTGCAGCCGCCCCTGGAGCAGCCGCCCCTGGACCTGGAGCAGCCGCCCCTGGAGCAGCCGCCCCTGGAGCAGCCGCCCCTGGTGCAGCCGCTCCTGGACCTCAGCAGCCGCCCCTGGCCCCTGGCCCCTGGAGCAGCCGCCCCTGGACCCCCTCCTCTCCGCCCTTTTCTCCTCTCCCTCCCCCTGCTGCGGGTGCAGCAGTGGGGGGGAGGGGATCTGCCATCCCCCTGGAGCGGATGCGGCAGTGGGGGGAGGGGACCTGCAGCACCTGCCTGCCCCCCCCCCCCGCCCCCCCCCCCCCCGCCCCTTCTCCTACCTCCCCCCTGCTGCGGGTGCAGCAGTGGGGGGGGAGGGGCTCTGCGGCACCAGCCCCCCCCCCCCCCCCCCCCCCCCTCCTCTCCGCCCTTTTCTCCTCTCCCTCCCCCTGCTGCGGGTGCAGCAGTGGGGGGGAGGGGATCTGCCATCCCCCTGGAGCGGATGCGGCAGTGGGGGGAGGGGACCTGCAGCACCTGCCTGCCCCCCCCGCCCCCCCCCCCCCCATCTCTCTGCTGCGGGTGCAGCAGTGGGGGAGGGTATGGGGGTGGCGGGTGTGGCCGACCCGCCAGCCCTGCTGCGCCCCGCGCGCCCTGCTTCCCTGTGCGCCCCGTGCGCCCTGCTGCCCTGCTGCCCTGTGCGCCCCGCGCGCCCTGCAGCCCTGTGCGCCCCGCGCGCCCTGCTGCCCTGCTGCCCTGTGCGCCCCGTGCGCCCTGCTGCCCTCTGCACGCGCCATGCACAGCACCCCCCCCCCCCCCTTCTCCTCCATCCCCTGCTGCAGGTGCAGCAGTGGGGGAGGGTATGGGGGTGGCGGGTGTGTGACACCCCCTGCTCCTCCTCCTACTCCGTCTCCCACTGCTGCAGCTGCCGCTGAGGGGGGTGGGGTGTGAGTGAACCTAGGGGTGCAGCAGGGGGTGTGTGAATGGGGGGTGCGGCAGTAGAGGGAGGTTGGGTGGAGGTAGCCGTCGTGTTGCTAGCAGTGCCAGTAGTCCGGAGGTGCGCTTCCGGTAGCCCAGTGATGCCGCTGCGCCAGTCGCCTGTGGGTCCGTTGCTCCTGCCGCTCGTCTTAGCCGCGGAGCCAGTTACTCCTGTAGTCCGGAGGTGCGCCTCCGGTAGCCACAGTGCGCGCCGCTCCTGTTGCCCGTGTGTCTGCAGTTTCCGCCGTTGCCTCCTCTCTCCTCTCCTATTAGTCCAGCCTCCTCCTCCTCACTTGCCCTCTGTGATAGCCTCTAGCTTTGCTTATTTATTGTGAACTTTAAACTGTTACTTCTTGTACTTGTGCTAAGAATGTGTGGTGACATTGTGATCCACCCTGAGCTTGCTTTGCTTTGCTTCTTGTGCTGATCATACCCCACTTTGACTATGGGGGTGTGTCAGAATATTATGTTTCTCTAGTCTGCAGTGGGGTACTCTGTAGTGAGTACAACCCTGTTAGGGTTTGCTATATGTATCCCAATGCTTTCTAGTGCAATTATTCTCACTTATTTCATTCTCGATTCTCACAAGACCTACATCCAAGCGGACTGAGGATAATTCGATCAGAGTGGGAAATGAGTGCAAGGTTGTCTGCTGAAAAACATGACCGGTCTGGTATATAGACCAAAGACTGATGTTACTTTGGTCTATGATAGACTAAAGACTGATGTTACTTTCTCGTACTAGGAATGTGGTACCATCAACTTAATAGTACGGCTCGGATCCGAATTTTTTCCCAATGCCGGCTGCGGCTCTGTCCGGCTCCTTGAAGGAGCATCAGAGCAGCCGCCGCTGAAGGTCAGACAAGCACGCTTGTGGACCACTGGCATAGCGAGCGGATGGTCATTCCTTCCTTGAAGGAATGCAACAAAAAAGAAAAAAAGAAAGAAAGAAAACAACATGTTTTCAATAAATTTTCCTCAAGTCATCAGTCATCCACTGGCAGTGGCGCATCCATGATGGACAAAAAGAATACTCATGCTAGATAACTCTTTGACTTGGCAAAAAGTGTGGCTATCCACGATGGACGAGGCGCGGTTCAGCAGGACTGGTATTGTGTCTGGTAGTACTTCCAGTGGGGACACTGTCTCAAGTTACAAGGGTTCCATTGAGATTGCGAATTCCGTAGTCATGCCGTTGTGACTTGCACGTGGTAGCCGTGTTCAGGTGTTATGGGGAAGAGATGACCCCTTTTTTGCCTTTCACCATGACACCACCACCAATGTGTCAATAGTTTTACAAACCAGAAGAAAACACTACCGTGATTTTTGGTCTCGTGTGAATGGTTCATTTTCCATGTTGTTGATAAAACACGAAATCAGCCCCATCCATAGTTCATGGCTAGCAACTGATGCACTGAAAACAATCTGTGTGTTTGCCACGCGTGACACGCAGGGCACAATGAAGAACAGTCTGGAAAGCAGCATCAGACACAGCTGGAGCAAGTGGATTCTTGCCGACGTTTATGCAGGACACACAAACGGGTCACCCGATTTCTGACTTGGCCATTTAAATGCTGCGGGGTAATGTCAAATATAAACATGTCGGCCTTTCAAATTCATGGTATTAAACAATATTCACCCAAAAATGTCGTCCAGTCACTTTATAAGCACGAACACTTCGTTAGATTTCCTTGAGATTCTACTGAACGATCACAAAAGAGTGTCGGAGGATTGGCCCACCAACAGACCTATCTGCCTTGGTATTTCGAAACGAACCGTCTCAAGGTGCGATTACCGTTTCTTTCCGTTTTGCTTACCGAAATTCAGATCCTTCACGGCACGAAGGCTTGTCTCAGCTCAGCCATGAGATAAACATCTAGGAAGCGAGTTTGCGGGGTTATAATTCGGTAAATGTACGATAACGGTGTTTGTTTGATCAGAAAATAGCTCAGCTTTGACAGTAGGCATGGACTGGTATTCAACAAAAACCACCGAAAATAGCAAAACGAGGGCTGTCAGTTCAACATCTTAGAGATCCCGACCAGACAAATGGGCCCCCACGCCCTGGGCTGGATGACAGACCCAATCCACGCAACCCTGTCCTTTGCGGACAAAGTGGCCACGACTCAAGTGTGGAATGATCACCTGAACAAAAACACCCTCTCTGACCGACTGACTCGCCGGCTGTCAGCTCTCTAGCCGTCAGATCGCCGGCCAACTGCTTATCCGACCGGCCGGGCAGAGGGAAAACGTTAGAAGTTGGCCGTTTCGCATGACAAAAATCAATCGCTCAATGATGTTTCTCACACTTCCAGAAATGGTAACGTTTGTATTGAAGTTAATAATGATTATGTATAGTTTGTCAATATCAGAATCGAACTATAATAAGTAAGAATAGTACCTTAATGAGTCAGAACATTGCACAGACTATCGAGATACTAGAGCACATTCAGGAAAGAACTCTAAACGCCAAGCGATCTGGCCCTATGTGTTGCACTGGTTGCAGCAATTGGTTGCATTGCAGCATGAGCAGAGAGAATTTAGCAGAATGCCATGCTCTGACTGTCAGAATCCCAACCACTAGACCATTGGGATAAAAGGGCTTGTTTGTATAGCGGGTTTGTGCGCCCATAACCCCCCAGGCGAACGTGCCTGTAACCCTCCGTAGGATCAATCGGGCATCCACAGTCTAGATCTACTGACACCCCCCCACACTGGGAGGCCCAGGACTGAGCACAACGGCAACGGCCTACATGTGCATACACCGGGATTCGAACCCGAGACTGCTCTGATACCATGTCAGAATCCCAACCACTAGACCATTGGGATAAAAGGGCTTGTTTGTATAGCGGGTTTGTGCGCCCATAACCCCCCAGGCGAACGTGCCTGTAACCCTCCGTAGGATCAATCGGGCATCCACAGTCTAGATCTACTGACACTGACAACCACATAAATAGTTGCAGTTGCAGTGTAAACACATAAGGACAACAGAGAGTCTGCCACAATTGACAACCACAACTACATCAACCTCAAGCCTACCCGAAGTATCAAATACTGCATATACAGTACCACTGTACTTGAAAACTTAAAATAACATATTTACAGGACCTGCCCAATTGGGTACCTCCTAAGCCGCACCCTCCAGCCACGACTGCAGCTCCTTCCGCACGCCAACGGCTGCAAAGTCTGAAACCCGGATGGTGCTGTCACCCCCTAGAAACGCAATCACTGCTGCCGGGATCAGTGGCTTCAACATAGCTTGCTGCTGGTGCAATGTGCCAAACTTTGCGCACTTGGAAGTGGTTGGGAACATTGCAAGCTGGTCTGAAGGAGTTGCACACGTTGATAGGACAGGTGGGTTTTGAGGAGCGTCATGATACCTGCTGCTCGTATTCTGTTCTGTGCTGCTTGTTTTGAATTCTGTGCGGCATGACTTGTAACTAGCTCCACAAACGGCCGGATGTTTGCTGCTCCAGGTACACAGCTCCTCTGGTAAAACCACAGTCGCAGGGTCCACGCGAGCACAGGCTTGAGCACAGGGTTGGCCACAGGCTTGGGCACAGGCTTGGTCACAGGCTTGGTCACAGGCTTGGGCACAGGCTTGGTCACAGGCTTGGTCAGTGGCACAGAGAGCTTCCGCACACTCAGAAGTATGTCAGAAATGGTGGTTGTTGGACGTTGCGAGGCACACCCAGTCGGTGAAATCTCAATCGACTCAAAAGTCACTGCAGGCACCGGTGCATCCATGGCTGAGGCGGGTCGCTTCCGCACATTCCTAAGCGTACCAAAGGTGGTGGCTGTAAGGGGCTGTGATATACACGCGCCTGAGTCAGACAGGGCAGCAGAGGAAGATTCCGGGATTGAGGCAGGGAGAGAGGCAGGGAGAGCGGCTGGGAGAGCGGCTGGGAGAGCAGCTGGGAGAGTGGCAGGGAGAGCGGCAGGGAGAGCGGCTGGGAGAGAAGCAGGGAGACTCCCGGGCGCGGCTGAGGAAGGTCGCTTTACACCAGTGTTGCTCTGCAAGAAGGAATCAATCAGAGACAGCAACAAAGCTGTCACTTGATCCGTCTGCTTTGACGGCTGCTGCTGCTGCCGCTTCGGCTGCTGCTGCTGCTGCTGCTGCTGCTGCTGCTGCTGCTGCTGCTGCTGCTGCTGCTGCTGCTGCTGCTGCTGCTGCTGCTGCTGCTGCTGCTGCTGCTGCTGCTGCTGCTGCTGCTGCTGCTGCTGCTGCTGCTGCTGCTGCTGCTGCTGCTGCTGCTGCTGCTGCTGCTGCTGCTGCTGCTGCTGCTGCTGCTGCTGCTGCTGCTGCTGCTGCTGCTGCTGCTGCTGCTGCTGCTGCTGCTGCTGCTGATGCTGATGCCGCTGTTGCTGCAGCACCATCACATCTCGCTGAGTCTGAAACCCAGGAGCATCATATATAGCACAGGAGTCAGTCAAAGGTGAATTTTGAGTCAACAGAGAAGTCTCTATCGTGGTTTGAAACACAGGAGTATCGGATACAGCACCACAGCCAGACAAAGCAGCACCCTGCACAGCAGCACCCTGCACAGCAGCACCCAGCACACGCCCCATTGGTGCTGCCATTCCCGTCCCATAAGGACCGTGCACAGACCCTTCCTCCCCATCACCATACAAATCAAGAATCAAACTCTTCCCATTGCCCACCACCACACCACCAGCGGTCTGCTCGTCCTCTATCAACCCCGCGTCAAAAAATTCTGGTGGAAGACCCATGTGGTTGGTACTGGAACGCAGTGACAGCTCTCGGAGCTCTTGGAGGCCTTGATTCGTAGGCGATATTGCTCCCAGAGAAGAGAAAATCCAATCCGTCGAATCCTCCTCCGCATCATGGAATCGACGGCTGCCATCTTCTCCTAGCATTTGAGATCTGAGATCCAGAAGCCGCAGTTCCTCATAATTTGAAGACCTCTGACTGTTGAGGTCAGTGGAGCAGCCACTAACGGGGATAAGCCCAGCCAGCCCCCGAGGAGATGGCTGGAGGCGGGTCAACAGGGAAGACACTGGGGAGAAGTCCCACGCAGGCAGGGGATTTTTCTCGGATGGCTGCTCCTTCTGGCAGGGAGAGTGCCAGAGGGCTGCTGCGTCAAAAACAGCATCAGCAGCAGCAGCAGCAGCATCCGCAGCAGCATCACCAATGCCACTGCCATGATAAGCAGAAGCACCAGCATCAGCGTCAGCACCAGAACCAGCATCGGTACCACCATCGACAGCAGCAGCAGCAGCAGCAGCAGCACAACCATCATTGAAAGAACTGCCTGTAGCAGCTATCATGCCCTCATGCTGCAAGGCCGGCACCAGGGCATTCAGAGGCCCACCAAAATCGGAACCCGGGACGTTCAGAGCTTTATCTGAACGAGCGTCTGCGGAAGTGAGAGCTGCATGGGAACGAGCGTCCGGGGAAGTGAGAGCTGCATGGGAACGAATGTCCGGGGAAGTGAGAGCTGCATGGGAACGAGTGTCCGGGGAAGTGAGAGCTGCATGGGAACGAGTGTCCGGGGAAGTGAGAGCTGCATGGGAACGAGCGTCCGGGGAAGTGAGAGCTGCATGGGAACGAGTGTCCGGGGAAGTGAGAGCTGCATGGGAACCACCGTCCGGGGAATTGAGAGCCGCAGCAAGATGATCAAGGCGAGCAGCGTTAGACGCTGCAGTGATGCCAGCTCCACCGTGTGACGCCGCGAGGTTGCTATGGTGGCTCATGGGCCGGTCGAGAGGCCGGTAAGTACGGCGGTAAGTGGGACGCTTGGTAGGGCCTTTAATGGGGACGGTAGGGTGGTTGGGTGGAGGCGCGGGGTGGTTGTGGAGGCGGCAGTGGTAGGTGACTTGGATGGCGTCGGGGGAGAGCGGGTCGGAGCCGTTGCGGCAGTTGATGTCAACGGTCTTCTTGGCCGGACAGCGCTGGTTGGTCTTGGCACGACTGCACTTGTAGTAGCACCTGTGATGGCAGATGAGAGGGGGAAAGGAAGGGGAAGGGGGGGGGGAAGATGATGGATTCAGCGGCACAGCTTAGGGTGAAACGGTGAATTCTGGTCAGCAAAGGACAGAGGATGATGGAGCAAGGGGGAGCACAGCACAGTATAAATTTATATCATCATTCGTTCTAAAGCAGAAACCTCTGAATCAAGGAGGCAAGTGGAGTCATCAGAAGAAGACGAGCAGGAGTCAACACAAGCCAAGAGAATGCGAACGCGAGTCAACGGGAGTCAACGGTGCTGACCTGGTGGCGTTGGAGCGCTGCACTTGCTTCTGGCCGTACTTGAGCCAGTTGTGCCCATCGGATCCCACCAGCCGCGCCACCAGCGCCTCCAACTTCAACCCTCGCAGCCCCAAGTCCTGCTCCCACACCTCTCGGCTGACCGACTCATCCTCAGACAGCTGACGGCTAGCCGACGCATCCTCAGACAGCTGACGGTTAGCCGACGCATCCTCAGAGAGCTGATGGCTAGCCGTCTCATGCTCAGAAAGCTGACGGCTAGCGGGCTCCTGCTTAGATCTCGCCAAGTGCGGAACCGATTGGTGCCGCAAGCTCGTGTCTATCTCGGAGGCGATTGCCATAACAGCAGACAAGCTCTGGCTGTGGTCTTCCTGGAAACTTTCTGTTAGGTGTCTTGACGGGAAAGTTGAAGATGGAGGACCTTTGAAGGCTCGCGGCTGCGGCTGAGGGTTAGTATTAGGGCGAGCATTAGTGCTGCCTCGTAGCAGCGCTAAATGTAGTAATATCAGTAGTAATACATCTCAGACTCGGGAAAATGAAGAGTCAAAGAGTGAGAGGAGTGACAAACGTGACTCTCCTCCAGAAGTCGAGTAGCAGTACTGATTGTAGTGTTACTGCTCATTGTGGTGTTACTGCTCATTGTGGTGCTACTGCTGATCCTCTAGTGGGTGGTGGTTCTTGCTGGGCTCGCGCAAATCTCTGTGCGGCGTCAGAATAAGCACCGCCGAGTGACCTTGAATGGCCAGACAACTGCCGCCTGCTCGATAACCTGTGGACGGTCCTTCTTGATAAGGCTGTGACGCATCTTGCATGGGATACCTGGCCGGACTATGGAGAAAATATCCCTCTCTGTCATCTGCCATCACGCATGCAAGATAATCTCCGATTATCTTGGAGGTTCCGAATCCAGACAAATCCGTCGAGTGGTCAGCCGGACAAGTGGCGAGAACACCGGGCGTGGCCAGCAGGACTTGCCGTTGCAAGTCGGACCGCCAGCTTGGTTCATGGGTGTGGTGTCTATTGCGGTGATTTGTGTCGTGATTTACTCGGAAGCGAACAACTCCTTCCACGTGACTGCTGACGGGGCAGATCGGTTATCATGGGAAAGGAGGTACGGAGACGGAAAGAAAGGCCCCTTTTGGAAGGATCTCCCTAGGAAGACGCGAAGGATTTGTTTTTTTTGTGACGGTCGAGGGTCAGCATGAAATTCCCGTCATTGATCGAGCAACGGAAGAACTACAGGTCCCACATACTGAATCATTGGTCCCACATACTGAATCCTTTTTTTTTTCACACTGTTGTAGTGCATTGTGCCGCCGAGTCTCGCCACGGTGGCCGTTGTACCTGTTGCACATTCTGCTCCACGTGCGAGGGGCTTAGGATCTTCGCGGTTCCAAATTGTACTTACATAATGCGGTCCACACGTTTAGCTGCAGCATAGCTAGAGCAAGCCGCGAAGCAAGTGATTTTTCTTCCCGCCATTTTACGGATGACAGCTCACACAATAGTCAACAGTCTTACGAGATTCAGGGAGTGATGACACCATCACGTTGTCAATGGCGAAACAGTCTTCTTGTCCTGAACAACTGAAAATGCTCTTGAAATGAGTTCTCAGAACAAATGAGATTGACAGTGGGCCTTCGAGATTGACAGTGGGCTTTCAGCAGCATCAAAATACGGGTAGGATTGGAAAGGCAAACACGAACAAGGAAACAACCATCACCTCCAGGACCAGGTTCAATGTACTACCATGTGCGCGCAGTCTGCTGCAGAAGGTACCCCTTGTGCTCCAGAAGGTTTCGAGTATTCATCCGGCTCATCCTCTCGCTTCATTGGCTAAAAAAAATAGCCAATTAGCTTGATTGGGCAGCTGGATTGCCAAGCCCGCAAATGAACGACGGACAGTGCATTCCTTGCGTGACCGCTGGCAAAACGCAAAATGCATACAATTCTGATGAGGTGTGGCTTGAACAAATCCAGTAATATAGGGACGCGTGACGTCAGCACATGCCGCCCCGCGCCCCCTGGCACATTCGGAAATCGGGGGCAAACCGAAAAACCCTCCGAATCCCTCGGGTCACCCCGAAACTCCCGCCTGACCAGGCGAAAAATCCCTCCGAAAAAACCCTCCGAATCCCTCCGTCTCAATGTCGTATTCTGCAGATATATGTCGGCCGTACTGTTGCAATTTCGGGGACATTGATCGAGCACTGCTCGACGGGCATTGGCCAATCGCCGTCGAGCACTGTGCATCCCCGACAAGACGGGTTACAGCAGCCATCGACGTCGCCCGACAGGCCGCGCTGTCGGTCGACGCGAGTGGTAACGGGTTTCGCAACCGGCCGACGGTCACAATCGACGGCGCCTTCAACTGCGGTCGACGTCGCTGTCGGACGGGCGACGGGTTACGTAAGTCGCCATCAAAGGGGTCACGTCAACAGATGACGACCACGTCAAAGGCCAAGGCCTTGAGGACACCTGTAAGGGAAGGGTTATCAGCCCAACAATGGTCTCAATGAAATCCTGAACTGGGAGCAGCAGTAACATCGTTTTTCTGAGTTAGGCCAGCGCTACGGCAACGAGAGCTTTCGGGTAGGCACGGATGGAGAACGATCCGTCGAGGACAACGCCTTTCCGGCAGATAGCGGTCGACGTTGAAACCATCTCGTCACAAGCCATACCGTGCCCTGTCGACGTTGAAACCATCTCGACGCAACCCCCTAGGACGTCACAAGCTATACCGTGCTCGACACCACCACCCTCGACGTCACGAGCCATACCGGGCTCGACAGCTCCACGATCGACGTCACGAGCCATACCGGTATCAACAGCGCCACCCTCGACGTCACGAGCCATACCGGTAGTGGGTCAGCCGGTTGCGCCGGATCAACGCTCGACGGAAGGTGCCGTCAATGTCGACGTGGGGGGGGCACCGACCGAAGTCCCTTCGACGGCGCAATCCATACCTGTAGTAGTAGAACCGATTTCGACAACATCCCCTCCCTCGACACCGGAAGCGACTAACCAGCCGTCATCATCTTCGGCACCACCAACGGAACCAGTAGCCGCTGTCCTGAGCTCGACTGGTGGGCGACGTAGGAGAAGGGGTACGGGTGTTCCGGCTGAGGTTAGGCCACCACCCCCAGCCGGTACATCCGCTTCGCGAGCCACTCCCGCCGTGCCTATGCGCTCATCGAAAAGACCCAGCAAAGCGGACTTAGCCAGCCACGTCCCGACAGAGACGAATGATGACGACGATGAACAGGGAGAACAGTCCGAGGCGGACGATGTCGAAGAGATGGACCCTTTGCGCCATGCCGCGGCAAACATATCAGAAGAGGAGGCAGCCCACATTCTCGGTGACGAACAGGGCGAAGAAAATCCGTACCTGGCGACGGGAACGCTCAAAAGTGCGATTCACCGTTGTTAGCTTCCGCTGCTTGCAATCGACCAGGATTCCACTCGGCCAAACTACGTCTCGGGTTTCATGCATTTCAAGGCTTGGGCCTGTGCAACCCTGGCGCCCGGAAAAACAAGGGAGTGCCGGACGAGGAGCAGGTGATCAACGAGGACGAGGTTGGGAGAGAGATCGGCAAGGATTTAGGGAAGGGGTGGAGGGCGGCGCTCCTTAACGAGGAGCACCTACATGGGCCTTGGACGTCGAAATGGCGGTTGCGGGCTTACGTCGAGTACATGTCGACGGAAACGGACGAACAAGCTGCTTCCTTGGATACCGGGCGGGCCAGAGTAGCGGGACGGAAGCCGAAAAAATGCACCCCACCGATGATGCTGGCGCGCCTAACTGCGCTAGGGTGCTTGTGCAAAGTAGAGGCCATACTCTTCGACGAACCACTCACAAAACCGATGGACGAGATCACCGAGGCTAGGCAGCTACTAGCGGTCAAGCTGCGACAGCTGCACGACGATCAGTTCGAGTAAGTTCGCTTCCCTACCCCGTCGGCTACAACTTCTCACTCACTTTCTCACTTATTAATTGCTGCATCTGCCCACTCTATGCAGGAGCTGCGTCGACCCACATCGTGGCTCGCTCGACGATGTCTACACGGAGGAGCAGTTCCGCATTCTTGTTTCATACATCCTGCCGCACTGGGCCAAGGTGTACTTCGGGTCGTCGCTGTGGAAGGCCTTGGCTGTGAGGGTGATGATTCTGATGGCACATCATATGCTGGGCAGGGGGATAAGCATCCGTACGATCCGCTGCTGCAACATGTTCACTCACGTCCTTCTGCCCATCACGAACAGCCCGGGGGAATCGTCGATCCTCGTTCTCGTGGTCGCCTATCGCAATTCGAAGACCGTCAAAGACAACAAGCTCGGCCACTTGTACCTGACTCGACACATGGACTTCCAGCCTGGGCCGTGGGTGGAGCGTGGCAACCTTCGAAGTGGATGGCTTTGATGAACAGACGCTATTTTTCCGAGATCCGGCGCAGGTGACTTCCCCCTTGCATGCCCATCTCGATGTTGCTCCGCTCCTCTGCTGTTCTGCTCCTCTACATTTCCAATCTCCTGCTGTTCCAATCCTCTCCTGTTCCGCTCCTCTCCTGTTCCGCTCCTCTGCTGTTCCGCTCCTCTCCTGTTCCGCTCCTCTCCTGTTCCGCTCCTCTCCTGTTCCGCTCCTCTCCTGTTCCGCTCCTCTCCTGTTCCGCTCCTCTCCTGTTCCGCTCCTCTCCTGTTCCGCTCCTCTTCTGTTCCGCTCCTCTCCTGTTCCGCTCCTCTCCTGTTCCGCTCCTCTCCTGTTCCGCTCCTCTCCTGTTCCGCTCCTCTCCTGTTCCGCTCCTCTCCTGTTCCGCTCCTCTGCTGTTCCGCTCCTCTGCTGTTCCGCTCCTCCCCTGTTCCGCTCCTCTGCTGTTCCGCTCCTCTGCTGTTCCGCTCCTCTGCTGTTCCGCTCCTTTGCTGTTCCACTCCTCTGCTATTCGGGACCTCTGCTGCTCATCTATTCTTCCGTTCCGCCCCTATGCGCCATGTAATCGTAGGCCTTGGCGGACATGTTTGGAGACCCAGCCAATGCACCCGGCTTTGTGCTGAAGCCACGCATGGACACTGACCCTGAAACCGGCCAGCGACGCTACTCCACCCCAGAGACGGGCACATGGTGGCATAATGCCCAGGTATGCCGCATCTGCGCACCTGCAACTAACACCTCATGACTTCGTTATTCACCTGTTCT